TTCCACTAAAAAAAACCTTTATTTTTTTTCTTTCCCTTTGTTCCTGCAGTTCCACCATGGTTTATCAATCACCCTTCAAATCTCTATGCCTATGAGAGTATGGACATTGAATTCGAATGTGCGGTCTCCGGTAAACCAGTCCCTACAGTGCAGTGGATCAAGAATGGAGAAGTTGTCATTCCTAGCGATTATTTTCAGATAGTGGTAATTATTAGTGCTTTTCATCTTTACTGGGGAAAAATAACCCTAAATGCAATGCAGCAGATATAATCACGTTGCTACAAAAGACATTGACATAACTGCTGAATAGCTCAGTGGCTTAGTTCTCTGGCTGTGGAGCCATAGGTTGGGAGTTCGATTCCCCCACTGTGCCTCCTTGAGAGGGGCTGGACTAGATGATCCATGGGGTCCCTTCCAGCTCTGCAGTTCAAAAGTTATTATTATATAAGCATTCATCAGAGGCAGACAAATTCCAGAGGTCTGAGCAAACTGTGTGGCCAACGCTGGACGCTGGCAGGCATCACGTGCCCCTGGACCCAGCTAATCTCCCCACATTTTCTTTAAGAAAGTTTTTTATTTTGTTTGATTTGATTTGATTTGATTTTGTTTTATTTTAATTCATTCATTCATTCATTTGTTTGTTTGTCACAAAATTACACACACACACACACACACACACACACACACACACACACACACACACACTTACTTTCTAGAGGCTCCAGTGTCTGGAAGCTGGGTGGGTACCTGCCTCAAAATGGCAAAGTTGCTTCCCTAGGTCTCTTCAGCTTTTTTTAAAAAAAGACCTTTTGTACTTAAGTTCCTTTTTTAAAAAATAGTATGTTTGTGTGAGGGCTCCATTTCAACCCGTGAGAGCCACAGAAGCCCACCCTGCACTCTTTCCGCTCTTGATCTGAATGATCTTGATCTTACACACTCAATTTCCCCCGTTAAAAAAAAAGTGATACATCCTCTAAAAATGAGGATCTTAATTGCAGCTGTGCAGAGCCCCTCAATACTATCTTCTCTTGTTCCTTTTAGGGTATGTTTTGCTTTATTTCTCCCTAATGAATCCCCGCCCATCTACTGTGTGCAGTGACACTTTAGGACTGTGCAACTCGTTAGATATAGATACCTGTCAATGTCCAATCAGGGATTACTCAAGAAATCAAACAGCTTTTTATGATACTGCTTGGAAATTCTCTGACAAAGGGCCCTTATTGCTCTGACAAAGCATTCAATGGAACAGCCCCACTCCATTTGACTTCAAGCTCTATTTAAAACCATAGCCAACTTCAGTAAACTGCTCCACATTATATATATTGTGACAGGATTACACAGACCTGGTGGTCTCGAGGTTGGGGATGCCCAAATACAAGCACAAGTCAATTAGACTGAAATAACTTGTGTATAATTTGAGATTGAGCCTTCTTCCCTTGATAAGGAAATCTCTACCTATTCAGTGCGAGAGCCCAAATGTAATGAATGAGGGATAAAATATGTACAAGTAGAAATTAATGGATCTTTGAATTTGCCATACGTTGTTCTTTTAATCACCCTTTGTTTTAGTTATTTATATTTGTTTTTAAAATGTGTATGAAATTTACTTACTTACATGTCACCTTTCTCCTAAAGAATCCAAGGTGGTTTACAGTATCAAAAAAAATTAAAGCTAAAATAATACATTCTTTATTGCAGTATTTTAAAAGGATTAAACAGATAGAGTATGTTATTAAAACTAGCAAATAAGAGCAAAGTTAAAGGTACAAGTAAAACAACAGAATACAATAATCTCTTATTGCCAGCCATGTTTGAGTCGCAACAGAATACAATAATCTCTTTTTAAAAAATCCTTGTGGTCAACTAGACTGGAATTTCCAAGGCAGCCCCTTTATACAGTAATCCAGCTGGAAATGTAAAGATGTATGTAATGCTACATGTAAGTTCATTATTGCCAGCCGTGTTTGAGTCTGAAAAGAAGTGGAGAAAATTCCTTTAAATAAGCCATTTTCGGAAATTTTAAGGAACTTTTCATATTCATTTGTCTGTCAGGGAACCTGAATGTCTGCCCCCCCCCCCACTTTTCCATTATTGCAAAGAAAAAAATTCCTTTAAATAAGCCATTTTCGGAAATTTTAAGGAACTTTTCATATTCATTTGTCTGTCATGGAACCTGAATGTCTGCCCCCACCCCACTTTTCCATCATTGCAAAGAAATTCAGCTCTTCTTTCTTTCTTTCTTGCTTGCTTGCTTTCTTGCTTTCTTTTTGGTGGATTGTCTTAAAGACCTGTCAAGACATTATCACTGTCTTGGTTTTCAATGAGACAACACAATCTGAAACTCACACAACACTCGCCTCTGGTCATGCAAGGGAAGTTGTGTCTTATGGAGGATTACCCGTCATTATTCATCTTTTTCTTGTACAGCCCCTGAAAAGTTTCATGGGTTAAAAAACAGCTACTCTAATCCATGTTTAGATCACTATAATACCACTACTGCTGTCCGTCCTGCAACATCAATACCACTAACTCACAGAAAGATGTGAGGGCAAATTAAGAAGTAGGATCCTAAAGGCATGTTGTTTCAAATCAGAAAATGTTGAAGAATACTGCTGTGGATGACTATATCACAAAGACAACAACAAGCATGAAAGGCCCACCTTGATCTTAAATCCAAAACTTAAGTTCAATTGGTAACCCTAAGTAGAGTAGACCAACTGAATCAGTTGTTAAATCACAGCGAACACTTACGTTAAACTAATCGGCCAGAATTCTACTGAAGTTCATGTAAAGTTTGTGTGACGTACCACAGCTAATTGCAGTTTGCTGGTGAAGTGCTAGGACTCCTCTCAGTTGAGCAATTGAGCATTTGACCAAGCATGACCCAGGACCGTGTCAGTTAGCCTTAATTAGCTGTGGCACTATGTAAACCTTATGTGAAGGTTTACCAATGGCCTTCTGGACATTGATTCAATTGGTCTACGCCAGGTAGAACTACAACTTGAGATCACACCAAAGCCCAGTCAATGTCTCTCTCTCCAACAGATGGATTCCTTCAGTACACACACAAGATTTTGACAAATCTTGTAGTCCGCAGTACAAATTGAAAGCTATGTTTAACGTCACAGCTGTGCTCTCATAAGTGCCAAGCAGTAGCTGTGATATTTGGAAATGTTTAGTTCATGTCCTAAGTATCTAACTAAATGCTTATAAAACATTGTGGCTGCGGGATAATCCTCCTTTCCTTTCTAACATCTCTAATTTCAGGGGTTTAAGCACATCTCATGCATATAGATTAACTTGCTTTTGTAATGCCACTTTCCTAATTAATGTTCTTTCTATTAAATGAAATTGACAATGATGATCTAAATTAAGCATTTTCTAGTTAATAAAAGGTTGAGGATCTCTCCCTGCACCACATACTTCTTTTTTTTTTAGAACAAAAGAAGATACTAGGTGCTACGAGCATCCAAGTTCACAGAACTTTACCCGCTGTTGGTATTTATAATAAAGACAATCAGGCGGTCATAACTCTGCTTGCCAAGAAATGGGAGATTTCATTATGTAATTGGAAAAGGGCAGATTATCCTTTCAAAAATCTCCTGGAAAAGAAAAGCTTTAATAAACGAAGCATTCAAAGCAGAAAATTTTAAATAATAGTAACAATATTAAAAAAAACCAGTGCCAATTATTTTTCCTTCGAAGCCAAAGTTCTAAGGGCTCAGAGGAACTGACCTTCAGACTTTTTTTTTTCTTATTTAGAGATTGTTGGTTTTAAACCTGCAGCAATCTGAATCTCCCACTAAATATGCCTCCCACATAGTCCAGTTTTTCTTTAATGTCAAATTTAAGTGATTTTTTAAGTGTTGCATAAGGAGTTTGAGCTACGTGTCTGCTCAGCAGCATCTTATTTTGTTCTAACTGGTCCTAGTGGCTCAGTGAACCCAAAGGACATGTAGTTCAAGGGTTTGGTCAGTATGCATTCTATAGATTAGAAAGGAGGGGGGTTTGTGCCTGCCTGCCTGCCTTCCTTCCTTCCTTCCTTCCTTCCTTCCATGAGTGTGCATTTCATTACAACCTATATGATGGAAAATATACCAGTGAATAGATGCCTGTATACATTATTTTCCACAGGTGCACTTAAGGCCTTCATGAAATACAGAATTTTGTGTGTAGGAGTATTCAGTTAACATATTCGCGAAGGCTTTCACAGCCGGGATCTAATGATTGTTGTGGGTTTTTCGGGCTCTCTTTGGCCGTGTTCTGAAGGTCGTTCTTCCTGATGTTTTGCCAGCCTCTGTGACCGGCATCTTCAGCAGACTGGAGTAGGAACTCTGTCCATGGTCTGTTGCTCAACTGTCCAACAAACAGCAAAAGAACATGGACTGAGTTCCTACTCCAGTCCTCAGAAGATGCCAGTCACAGAGAATGGCGAAACTTTAGGAAGAACAACCTTCAGAACACAGCCAAAGAGCCCGAAAAACCCACAACAACCAGTATACAGTTAGTTTTCGAATTGTTCTGTTTTATAAAATAGAATTCATAATTTGACCCCAAACTATATGTTGCTAAAATTCTAGGATGAATCCAATAATGACATCCAGGTTTCAGTTTCTATTCACCTACTTAGGAGTTATTCCCCCTGATTTCTTTGAGATTTACTTTTGTATAGCCATATATAGGCTTGTGCTATAGATTTGTTTACTTACTTGAAGTATTTATAGTCTACCCTGTAACAAATTGTCGGGCTACTTCAGAATGAAAAACAATACAATTTAAAAATTCTAAAACAAGAGATGTAAGAGTACAACTCTTACATGGGAACAGTTGCAGTGAAGAAAAACAGATGAAAGCCAATACCAAATAAAAGGCTTGGATATTTGCTTCTTTTTAGTGGTCCTTGCTTGAAGAGCTTGGAAAAATGGTCTGGATTGTGGTGCTCAGGGTCTCCCAGTTTTGCAGGCAAACAAGAACTCTGTGAGGACATTCCACTTAGACTCATAGGCTCATAGGCTGAAATCCTGTTGTGTAGTTATGCAGACACTGTAACTTTTAGAAGCAAATTGCCATTAAATTAAATAATCTCTGTAGACATTATCTTATCAGGTCTTTGACCATAAAATGAAGATCGTTGTGGTGGTGGTACTAGATATTATCCATCGCACAGCAAGTCATGCAACTCATAATATCCATGGAGATTTCTTAACTTATGGCAATTTCCTTCCTGTTGTCCAGGAGATTTCTTAACTTATGGCAATTTCCTTCTTGTTGTCCAGTTATGCTGTTCGCATAACTGCACAACAGGATTTCAGCCATAGGGCTGTAGAACTGAAAGGAACCCTAAAGGTATAACTGCACAACAGGATTTCAGCCATAGGACTGTAGAACTGAAAGGAACCCTAAAGGTAATCCATCCCAGTTCCCTGCAGAAGCAGAAAATCAACTGATAATGCAGTGCCAATAGAAACATTGAATGAAGGGGAATCCACCATCTCATAAAGCAGTCTGTTCCAAAATTGAACCCCCTTTCAGGATGTTCTTCCCAACGTTTACTCAAAAGAAACCACCACTTAAAGGGCCCTTTGTGAGCCTGTGCTTCAGACACTAAACTGCAGGGAAGAGTCGGAGAGTCTATCCCAGCCTTGGAAATTCAAGGCAGCATTCAGAAGTTCGTACTGAAACACAGTGGCCTTCATTGAACAAAACATGCATGAGAAGGCAATCACACAGTCCCTCCCTCCCGGTGGCTCTCCTTTACATGATTGATCAACCACCCAATTTTGCAGGGAGCAGCTGAAATTCTGTTGCTCAGCATAGAGAATGTCCATTGGACCAATGGGGATTTGGTGAGTCTACTCCTCTGTAAGATCCATTGATTCAGTAGGCTTACTGCAGTTGTGGCTTACCACACTAAGAGCCCACTGCACTGACAATAAGGACCACTGTTGAATCAGGCTTTGTTTTTTAAAAATTGGTTTTATATAAAGTGTCTCCATGATGTACTTGGAAGCACAGATGTCATTCATTCATTCATTCATTCATGCCTGGGAAGCGTGTTTTTGTGGTTTTTTTTAAGTTGGGTCATTCATTCATTCATTCATTCATTCCTGGGAAGTGTGTTTTTTTTTTTTAAGTTGGAAAGCAAGGTAAAATACTTTTCTGCCAGAGGGTTGTTTATTTTAAATCACTTGTGAAACAGATTTATTTCAATCATCTTGGCGTATGCAAGCCCTTTTGTCAGTGTAAACTGTAGGTTGCTGATTTATTTCAATCATCTTGGCGTATGCAAACCCTTTTGTCAGTGTAAACTGTATCTTTAGGTTGCCATGAAGAGGTGAGAATAAGGCTGGGGAAGAGGAGGACCAGTGGTAGCAGAGGCAGGAGGAGAAGAAAGTAGAAGAGGGGGTGGCGGAGATGGTGGGAGTAGTAACAAGGGCTGCAGCTGTGGCAGGGCCCCAGGACCTAACCCAAAGAAGCAACACTGTGATCTAGGTTGCAGCGCCAGCCTTCGCTGCCTGAATCAGCAGTAGCACACCACGCAGCTGATGGGTGGTGGTGAAGCTAGCTTGTTGCATCCTGGACTGCTGCCTAGCTTCACCACCCATCAGCTGGGCAGCATGGCATCTACCAGCAACCTGGATTCACTATGCTCTAGGATAGCACTTGGCTTCTCTGCCTGGAAGCTGTGGGGTAGCCCCTCAAGCCAGCTGAGCCAGGGCTTTGGAGCTGAGTAGGTGCTGCATACCGAGCTGACTGCAGGCTAAACCGCAGAAGCCTGTGCTGCAGGTTCAGAAGACCAAGCAGTCGTAAGATCGAATCCACGTGACGGAGTGAGCTCCCTTCACTTGTCCCAGCTCCCGCCAACCTAGCGGTTCGAAAGCATGCAAATGCAAGTAGATAAATAGGGACCACCTCGGTGGGAAGGTAACAGCGTTCCGCGTCTAAATCGCACTGGCCATGTGACCACGGAAGATTGTCTTTGGACAAAACACTGGCTCTATGGCTTGGAAACGGGGATGAGCACCGCCCCCTAGAGTCGAACACGACTGGACAAAAAAATTGTCAAGGGGAACCTTTACCTTTACCTTTAGGTGCTGCATACCCAGCTGATGGGGTGAGGAAAGTGGGCTGCTGCATCCTGGAGCCTCGTGCTGGTCCTCTCTGTTGGCTCCTGAGGCTGCCCACAGCTTCTGGGCAGTAAAGCTAGCCACAGCGTCCTAGATTGCAGTGAAGCCGGCTTGCTGTAGCAGCCTGCCTTCATTTCCCATCTGATTGGCAGCTGAGACAATTGAGTTAATTAACACCAAGGCATATTGTGTGGTATATCATTACTGTAACTGGGTCTTGAGCTACAGGATTTTATCCACCATGTGACTGGGTCCATGGAGATGGTCTGCTAGAGCAGTGATACCCAACCTTGGGCCTCCAGATGTTTTTGGACTACAACTCCCAGAAGCCTTCACCACCACCTCTGCTGGCCAGGGTTTCTGGGAGTTGAAGTCCAAGAACATCTGGAGGCCCAAGGTTGGGGACCATCCTGCTAGAGTGAAAACAACTTTCCCCAAATCAGTTCTGATGTGTGGCTAGACTGGAAGATAGGTTGCCTTAAACACTCTAAAAAAGAAAACCCTGAAAGAGATGTAAGGACGAGGCCTGTCTCTGTGGAACCAGAGAATTAGAAATTAGAAAACAGACCTTAGGCAATTACTTTTAAATGTAATCGCTCCCCAATACTTGCTATCATATTTAGGAAGCAGTTCATTTCGCATTACTTCTTGTGGTGTTAAGTGTTGAAGAAGCAGCTCTTGTTGTTTTTCTATTACTTTGAGTTTATTTAAAAAAGAAAAGATCCTTAGAATTTATAAGAGGATGGTATAGACCAGTGGTTCTTAACCTTTGTTACTCGGATGTTTTTGAACTGCAACTCCCAGAAACCCCAACCAGCACAGTTGGTGGTGAAGGCTTCTGGGAGTTGCAGTCCAAAACTCCTGAATAACCAGAATTTATAAACCAGTGGTATAGACCATGAACAATGACTGAATGTTTTTAAAGTGATTCTAAAAATAACTTAAAACTAAAGTACCTTCAAAATGAAACTGGAAACAATATTCATTTCATCAGAGAAACAATGTCATCTCTGCTCAAAATGTGACCGTCTGTGCCCTCATTTTAATATATCTTGTCACAAGAATTACGCAACACGTAACTCCTTGTCTCCAAGCTCTACCCCAAGGTCATCTAGTCCAACCTCACATTATTACAGAACACCGGCCATTAGATGGTGACCCAGACTCAATGGAAAGGCAATGTTCTAGTGTCGAACAGTTAGTGCTGTCAGGAAGTTATTCCTAATGCTTAGCCGACATCTCCTTTCCTGTAATTTGGACTCATCTGTCTGAAACCTGGGAAAGCCAGCTGTAGGTAATCCTCTTTGCTTCCCTACATCTCTCTAGGGTGGCAGCAACTTGCGAATTCTAGGACTGGTAAAGTCGGATGAAGGATTCTACCAGTGTGTAGCTGAAAATGACGCCGGGAACACACAGACCAGCGCACAGCTAATCATCCCAGAGCCTGGTAAGATGCAGAATTTCTTCTTTTAATTAATAGAATTAGTGGAGCTTTGAACCAGGTAACCCTTGCCGGCCCCTGACTTTTTCCTTGCACTTCTATGGTTGCGCTTGGCGGTCTCTAGTGATGTCCGCAAACAATTACTCATCATTGTGTGTCGCCTGTGTCCATTTCAGGAGAACTGCGCAATCTTACACCCTTCGAAAGGGTGTAAAATGACTTTATGAGAGACACGGAGTTTGTTGCAGAAATTGTCTTCTCTAACCCCAGCCTAGCAGGAAGAACTCGCATCCCTGGTTTTCAGAATTGTATCCTCTAACCCCAGCCTAGCAGGAAGAACTCGAATTACTGGTTTTCAGAACCTTGTTTCATACTAATGAATTTTGTCCTTTATTCTGACTTCTGCGATGGAGCAGACAGGATAGAACTGTCCAGAGAGTGACAACACTGATGGGGCAATATAGAAATTGAAATCAATCAATCTCTCTTTGTCTCTCTTTATCTCCCTCTGTCTCTCTGTCTTGGGAAGCTGAGGTACATGCCCTGATGCTGATTTTCATTAATTAGCTTTGCACTTTGGTAACTAATAGGGTGGGAACAGGGGTCAAATATGACTCTTTGACCACACCACTACAGCAGTTTGATGTTACTTCAACTGTCTGGGTTGAATCCTATGGAATCCTCAGATGTGTAGTTTGATGAGGGAGTAAGTGCATCAAAACAATCATCTCTGCGTTTTCATTTTTGCCAACAACCATGTTGTGCAAGGGCATGCTCTGTATTATTATTTCAGTTCTTCAAAACAACAACAACAAAGTTTTGCTGATGAGTGTGGGACTTTGTGCTTCTGTCCCTACAATTCCAAAAGCCAGGAAATGGGGCAGTATTACTGCCCAATATTGTGCCTGTGGTGCCAGCAGGGGAAAAAAAGGATGCCAAAGCTTTCCATAGCAAAAGGTAGCCTGAAGGTTGACAATGCCAGTGGCAGTAATCAAGATGGTCTACAGGGTACCCTCCTGTGCTCACTACCATTCACAAAGTAACTCCAAGTGTAAGGTTACTCTGGGTCAGAAAGGCCCATGTTAACCACTAAGCCACACTATCCTGATTGTCCTGGTGTCGGTAAAATCCAGGAGGGCCAAATGTGCTGATAAGTAGGGAAAATCTTCATGCCTGGTACCCTCCAAACACTCTAGTCCACTTCCAGGGAGTTATAAAAAATCTACAAGGTTAAATGCTTTGACTCTCATGCCAGCCCTGCAAGGTAGGATCATCGTGATCACACAGAGCAGAGTTAGGTAACAGTGGCCTTCCAGACTGGATTGCATTTCTCAACAGCTAACCATTGACACATGGAGGCTTATACCTGCATATAAATGAACACAAGTAGGCCCTCCCTGTCTTCAAAGCTTTCTGCTCAACATGGGAGGATTGAGGAATCAGTGGATGGGCTCCAGTCCCCTTCCCAACTACTGTATAGCTTTTAAAAGAGCAGGTTGAACATCTGTCTGCAGAGGTGGAATAGACGTCTATCCACTGCAATTATGATGGCTGACAACGTTGCAAAAAATGTGGTGATATCAGCCTTTCCCATCACGTGCGCAGTGCTGATAATCAACCAGTGTTCAGGCATTAACTGTAATACATGAATCGCTTCATAAAGATGCCTTGTTTTTGTTGGTTGGTTGTTTTATTGCTTGGCTAGTCTAATTGCTTGATTAATCTTGGCTTTGTGCTTCCTAATTCTATCGAACCCCTGTGATCAAAATGATAAGCATCCCTTGAAGAGCTGCTGTGTTTCTCTCACACCTACTGATGAGCAAATCCAGAGTTTGAAGTGTGGTTTCAAATGGCTGCCTGTTTCCCTCACTCAGTGGAAGGGACACCAGCCCAGAGGGGAAGGACAGAGACCATCTTTTGCTGTCTGTGCCATTCCATTCATCACCCAGCACTGCCGAAAGGATGCTGTATAATTCATTGCAGTCTCCACCTTGATGTTTTGAGTCTTGGCAGTCCATTGCTGTTCTCTGGGCCTGCGCTTTTTATTATGTTTGGCGTTGGACTGGAGTGAAAGCGGCCTTAAATGAAGACAAAATCCTAAAGAGCTATGGGGACACCATTGTAAACTGTCTGCAATCCTCCCCTTATAAATGATGGATTGCCTTTCCCGGGCTATTTAATCAGATCTTCAAACAATGCCGCTCTGACTCCTCAGAGATGTTGAGAACAGCAGCATACGCAGATGGCAGGGGAGCCCGATATAAATACAAATTAAGTGTCAGGCTTGACCACAGAGGCATGAACATAGCCCTTTCTTTTTCAAATTTTATCAATAAATGGACACCATCTCTTTCTCATATGTGGTGAGTGCTGCACACCACAGCTGTTCTCTTTGAGCTGTTCCACAGGCCACAGACAAGGAGTTACCCCTAGCAACTGTGGCAGTCTGCTTTCTGCTGAGAGGCAGACAATGACCTATTAAAGCCACCATTTGCTGTTGGTGGATATTTATGGGAACCTAAATTTATTTATTTATTTATTTATTTATTTATTTATTTATTTATTTATTTATTTATTTATTTATTTATTTATTTATTTATTTATTTATTTATTTCATATCCCGCCCATCTGAGCTATACAACCACTCTGGGCGGCTTCCAAAATCACATATCACTGATCCAAAGGAGGCCTGGATAAAAGTGGAATGGCCCTATCCAGTTCTCAGGAGAAGCAAAGTGAATTTACAGGTTAATTTGCAATTGAATCAGGTGGGGCACAAACCACATCATCCAAGTTACTCTGGACCAAATCAAGATATATTTCATAGCCACAAATTGTTCCTCAGATTGGAAGGACAGACTGTATACAGCCCTACAGCCATGGCCTTTTACATTAGACTCATTTTGTAGTACAGTGGTGCCTCGCTTAATGACGATAATCCGTTCCAGGAAAATTGCTGTTAAGCGAAAACATCGTAAAGCGAAATTAAAAAGCCCATTGAAACGCATTGAAAACCCTTCAATGCGTTCCAATGGGCTGAAAACTCACTGTCCAGTGAAGATCCTCCATACGGTGGCCATTTTTGGTGCCTGTATAGCGAGGAATCCGTCCCCAGGCACAGCAGGGAGCTATTTTAAGCACCATTTTGAAAACCCGACAATCAGCTGTTTTTGATTGTCGTAAAGCAAAAATCGGTTCCCGAAGCAGGGAACTGATCATCGCTAAGCAAAATTCCCCCATTTAAAACATTGTTTTGCGATCACAGTTGCGATGGCAAAAACATCGTCGTGAAGCAGATTCGTCGTAATGCAGGGCAATCGTGAAGCAGGGCACGACTGTACAAGTTGTGTTTATGTTGCAATTCCATGGGAATGCATAACAAAAATACAAAGTGTTGCATAGGGCAGTTGATTGAGTTTCCTTTGAGTCTTGTCTTCATCTCCCCCATCTTTTTTAAAGCAAATGTTCAGCTTTTGCATCAGAAGTGCAAGACCAGAGGCTGTAAAGTGTCAGAAGCCAGAAGGGTGACTTGGTGCTTTCCTGCCAATCAATATCTGTTGCCCGAGATAGCTGCACCACTGTACCAAAGGGTAGGGCGCCACTCTTGCAGGCCACTGTAGGCTGATGAATCCAGTTTCAGAGGTGTTGTGAATCTATTTTGGATGTTAGTCAGCTTTCCACAGGAGCTATCCATGGTACTAAATCTTATCTCCTAAAACAGCTCAAAACCTTTTGATAACTCCTGCAAAGTGCAGACTAAAATACAAAGTGGGTTTACAGCACCTCTGAGATTGAAACCATCAGCCTCCACAGACACAAACATCTCCATTATGGCTGTTACCATGTTACCTTGCATGCAGACTATCCATGGAAGGGGAAATAGGCACATTCCTCTTGCCACTGTGTTTGTATGCTTGCATAAATATATTCCACAAATCCACAGAAGGGAGACCCTCTGTGTACAGTGAGGATGGGGAAGATTTCAGCCAAATTACAGTTACTTCAAACTTTTTTAAATTCCTCTGAGAAGCTTCTGATTTTTAACACCTACATTGTAAGTGGGAGCAACATGATCTCGCAACTAAAAGAATAATGACCAGCAAAGGTGCGTGAGTCATCTAAGAAGATAAAAGAAGTCAAAGTGTGAAATGTTTTAATCAGTACCCATGGAATGCTCCATGGTGGGGATACCTTTATCTATTGAATCTGATTTATGCCAGTTGAGAAAAAAAACCATGGTTTCAGTTTGTTTTTGAAGATCATATTAAATTTCTGAAATTTCTTTCCATGCAGAGAATTTGAGGGTTTTTGAAAAAGTCTACTGTGGGACAAAGCAAAAACAATGGAATTCCTACATTGCAGGCAATTCAAGGCACTGTGAACTTTGCATGTACTGAAACCTCCTGTATCTAGAAATAGTGCTCCATCAATTGGTGAAAAACATTTGATTGTAGAGCTGAATTGAAAGCAGAAGTACAACAGTTTAGTGGAATAATAAGGGCGGTTTAGTGGAATACGCTTCTTGCACAGGTTCTTTCCCCCACCCCTTTTCTTTCTTTTTTTGGTAAGTGCATATAAAGATTCATTGATGGAGGGAAGATGTGAGATTAGGAAATAAGTTCTAGTCCCAGGCTTCCTGACTAAGTGGAGAAGCAATGTATAGCCTCTCTTTTCAAGTGAAGAGCAGGAGAAAGTAGTATACATAGTCTTATTTCCCCTCTGCATAAATGCTGTACAGATGAAAGTCAGCACATGAGAGTATGGTAGCTGATGAAGCATTGTCCACAAAAGTGTATGCCATTACAGAAACGTTAGTCTTTAAAGTGTGACAAAACTTTGCTGTTTCATGCAGGTATTTTGTGATTTGCATGTATCGATAGAATAAAAGCCTTCCAATAGCCTTTGAAGATTCCACCAGTTTGCAGCAGCAAATGTATGTGTCAGCGAGTCTTAAAGAACAAAAACCAAGGAGAAGCATGCCCATTAGCACACGCTCTTTCCACATA